CAGGATTCAAAGTAGGCAGTCTGGCTTTCAAGCCTACCAGGCTGATACTGCCATATTTTCAAATTTATTGAAGCACAGTTTGTAAATGTTTTGCTGATGGATTTGGGGTGTTCCCCATGTCATCTTTTCTCATTCAGGAGATTCAGTCATTTAAATGTTTGTTGAATGCTTACACTGTGGCAGGCACTTTGCTTGGTTCTTGCCTTGTTAGACTTCTAAATACTATGCTGTGGTTTCAGATGTGTTGAGTATTTCGAAGAAATTAAAAGGGTAATAAAATTGTTGTATCATGGGAATAATTTCTTAAGATTAGGTGATCAGTAGAGGCTTCTTTTGAAGATGGCATTTTGTAACTATGACTTGAGTGATGAGGAGCCAATTTTGTGAAGTTCAAGAACTTAGGGGACCAGATCTGGGTCTAGGTAGAGGGACCGGCTAATGCAAAGCCTAATGGTAGGGATGAGAAAATGTTGCAAGCACTTAACCATGTGTCCGGCACCATGCAAAGCTTGCTATAGATATAGAGATAAGACAGGCATGGTCTCTCTATCATGAAGCTTATAGTCTGGTGGGTAAGTCAGACATTAAATAAATACTTATAATAGTAATGTTAATTATAGTTAAACAAAAGGCTGCAAAGGTAAGTACAGAATGCAATAAGAGTATATAAACCTGATCTAAACTTCAGGAGTGGGAGAAGGTGTCAGAGAACACTTTTCCTGAGAAAGCCTTTAAAGCTGAGACCTGTAGGGTGAGTAAGAGGTAACCAACTTTAAAAGAGAAGTGACTGGCATATGCAAAAACCCTGAGGTTGGAAGGAATCTGACACATTTGAAGAACTTACCAACCAAACAAAAACAAGAAGTCCAGTGTAACGAGAGAAGAGAATGGAGGAGAGAGTCAGTCTTGACAACGGGTCAGTCCAAGTAGGGTTTTATCCTGAAGGCAGCAGGAAAGACAGACATTCAGCAGAGGAGTAATATGCTTGGACTAGCCCTAGCTGGTTTGACTCAGTGGATAGAGCAACAGCCTGCAGACTGAAGGGTCCCAGGTTCAATTCCGGTCAAGGGCACGTACCTTGGTTGCAGGCTTCCAGCCTTGGTCGGAGGCATGCTGGAGGCAACCAATCAATGTGCCTCTCTCACATCGGTGTTTCTGTCTCTCCCTCTCCCTTCCACTCTCAAAAAATCAATGGAAAAAATAACCTTGGATGAGGATTAAAAAAAAATGCTTGGACTAATAACTGACTCGAGTATAGAGAAAGGATCAAGAGAGAGCAAGACTGGATTTGATAAGACCAATTAGGAGGCTACTGTAGAGGTTCAGGTCAGATATGATGGTGGTACAGTTGAGAGTGCTGACAGTAGAATTAGAGAGGTTTTGAGAAATATTTAAAAAATAGAGTCATAGGATTTTGGTTCGTTGGATGTGTGGAGGGTGAAGTTAAGGGGGTACATGTAAGGATGACTCCCAAATTTTTCTCACGTGGGTGACTGTAGTACAGTCCTTTTATTGAAATAGTGCACCCTGAAGGAAGAGCAGGTTTGGAGATTGAGGGAAATAGCGTAAGTTCAGTTTTGAGTAAGTTTGGACAGTTTGAATGTGAGGTGCCTATAGAATTGTTGAGTAGGTAACTATGGTTCTTGACCTAAGGAAGGACTTATTGGCATAAGGCGGAGTCTCATTGGCATATTATGGTAATTGAAGTTGGTAGACATGGAGTGGCATACTAAGGGAGTAAGAAGGATGGGCCCGAGGTATGAGAAAAATCAAGGTAGTTGTGTCTTTGAAGCCAAGTGACTATGGTACTTAACTGTTTATCAGGCACTGTTCTAAACATTAGTGTATTTGTCCAGTACCACAAGGTAGTAACTGGAAAAGTGGGTTTTTGAACTTAGGTTCGTCTGGCTCCAGTTTGTATTCTTAAACATCACTTTATACTGATAGTGCTTCAAAGAGGTGGTAGTGGTCAGCTGAGGTCAATGCTACTCAGAGACTGAGTATATTAAAAACCGAGATGGCCATGGATATGGCAATATAGAGGGTATCGGTGACTTTAAATAGGAGTTTTAGTGGCATCTGGAGACAGAAGACATTCTTCAAAATAAATGTGAAGCTACACAGAGAGTGAGTGAAGAGAAGTTGAGTGAAGTTTGGTTGTGAAGAGAGAAGGTGTGCAAATCGTAGTTCAAGTGCAGGATCTAGAGAAGGTTCTCTTGGATTTTTGTTTGTTTGGTTTTAAGATAGGACTGACAATTACATTTACTTTATTTTATTTTTTTAATATATTTTTATTGATTTCAGAGAGGAAGGAAGAGGGAGAGAGATATAGAAACATCAATGATGAGAGAGAATCATTGATTGGTTGCCACACCCCCCTCTGGGGATCGAGCCCACAACCCAGGCATGTGCCCTTGACTGGAATCAAACTCAGGGACCCTATAGCCCACAGGCCAATGCTCTATCCAGTGAGCCAAACCAGCTAGGGCTGACCATTACATTTTTTTGTTAACCCTTTTCAGTCCATCATGGAGGCTGACTTGACAGACCAGGCGCTAGGACATTGATGGCGAACCTATGACATGCGTGAACTCATTTTTTTGGTTGATTTTTCTTTGTTAAATGGCATTTAAGTATATAAAATAAATATCAGAAATATAAGTCTTAATTTTACTATGGTTGCAAATATCAAAAAATTTCTATATGTGACACGGCACCAGAGTTAAGTTAGGGTTTTTCAAAATGCTGATACACCGAGCTCAAAAGGTTCACCATCATTGCGCTAGGAGCAGGTCCAACATCGAGGCTGAGTTCAACACCACAAACTGGTTCAACATTCAATCCCATCAATTAATATGGACCAGACTGTTTGAATTCCAAAAGTAAAATTGGATTGCAAAGGGTTAATGCCATTATCAACTACTAGTTCTTTCTCTGTTATCTTCCGCTAGAGGCCCAGTGCATGAATCTTGTGCACTGGTAGGGTCCCTAGCGGCTGCCGGCCAGGTTCTCCCTCCCTTCTCCCAGCCACCTGCTGCTGCTGCTGGCCAGACCTGCCGCCACCACCAGCAGGGACCTCCTGCAGCCACCACCACCACCACCACCACCGGCCCTGCCTCCTGGTCAAACTCCTGAACAAGCTCTCGGTGGAGGGGACAATTTGCATACTATGCTTTTATTATACATATAGGATATTTAATCAATTGCTAAGACCTGCTGGATTTTGATATTCAACACTTTTAGTTCCCACTACCACTCCTAGTTCTGACTCAGTCTGCACTGTGGTAGTAGCCTCCTTCTTAGATTTTTATTCTGGGTATCTTTTCCATTATTTCTTATTTTGTGCTTCCAAGGTTCTGATTAGGTTGTTCCCATCCTTTGTGACATTCCCCCCACTTAGTCACTGGTGGTGTGGGATGGACACTGGACTTTGGTTCATAAGATGTGGCTTTGAATTTTAGCTCATATTCTGTGTAATCTTGGGCAAGTTACTTAACCTTGATGAACTGTAACTTTTCATGTGTGAAGTAGTGAAAATAAAGCTTACCTTTTGGAAATTGCTTATAAGTGCTTGGTTAACTTTTAAGGTTTTGCCATTGTAGGCTAAACTCTTTACCCTGGGCTTCAGGCTTCAGTTGACTATTACAGTTTATCTCCTCTTTTTAAAAAAAAAAAAAAAAAATCCTTACCTGAGGATACATCTATTGATTTTTCAGAGAGAGGAGGGGGCGGGGGGAGAGAGAGAGAGAGAGAGAGAGAGAGAGAGAGAGAGAGAGAGAGAGAGAAGAGGAGAGGAGAGGAGAGGAGAGAGAGAAGAGGGGAGCCACATCAATTGGTTGCCTCCCACTCCTGTTCTGCACTGGGCTTAGAAATAACCACCCAACAGAGGTCTGTGCCCTTGACTAGGAACGGAAACAACGACCACTGGCTCCTTGAATGAAAGCCCTAACCAATGGGAGATCTGGCCAGGTCTTGCAGTATTTCTTAAAATAGAGGCATCCCCTGGAGGAAAGAGAGGGAGAAAGAAAGGAAGAAACAGCGATATGAGAAAAACATCAATTGGTTGCCTTTGTATGTACCCCAATGGGGGATTGAACCTGCAACCTAGGTATGTGCCCCGATCAGGAATCAAACCCGTACCTTTTCAGTATACGGGACAAAGGTCCAACCACCTGAGCCACTCAGCCTAGGGCTTATAAGAGAGAGAAGAGAAGAGGAGAGGAGAGAGAGAAATATTCATGTGTGAGAGAAACAAGAAACATCCATTGGTTGCCTCCTGCACACGCCCCAGCTGGGGATCAAACCGTCAAGCTAGATATGTGCCCTGACTAGGAATCGAACCTGCAGCCTTTTGGTGTATGGGACAATGCTCCAACCAACTGAGTCACACAGCCTGGGTTTATTATCTACTCTTTCTTATTTACTTTTATTTTGTTTATTACTATTTTTT